GCCAGAAAATTACATATAAATAGGTAATCTCATATGATGGTAAGACATGAGTTTTCACATTACAAAAACCCTAAAATACATACTGTGCTTTCTTCGATACCCTACTAACTTGAGCGTCGGAGGTTTACCGCCGGGAACACTTCCCCGCGTCCTTGCAGGTTTCCGAGGGCTCAAGCGGTTGGAGATCAAGGAAGGCCGGTCCAGTAACACATCAATATTGATTTCATATTTTAATTTATTATTATTATTATTATTATTTAATAAGTATTTTTAATTTATAAGTACCAATGAATAACTCTTACCCGTGCATTGCACGAGATTCGTATTAGTTTTATTTACATGATAACATATTTTAAATCCTGAAAATATTAATCATAGTCGCCCCTACATAAAAGGAAAACTAAAAAAGTTGATCAATTATGTTTGCTTATGAATAGTCGTGGCATCCCAGCATCTAGTGGCTGAAATTTAATTGCAACAAATAAAAGTATTTGTACGACATTTCAACAAAAGAAGTCTGTCATGATTAAATGGTAAAATCAGGAAAATTGGTGAATTAATCAGCAATTAATGAAACACTAATGATTGTCGGAGGGAGTTTAATTTGTAACGGAAAAGAAAATATATGGAAAGGTTGAAATGGAAAAAAAAAATTATCTGAAAGGAAGTGTTATTACTAATTATTTACATTCCCACGCGTACACGGGCTTCGTAATCACTTACGTGATGATTAAAGTCGTATTATTTTTGGATGATTGTTACTTGAATTAGTTAAGCGCCACATGTTGAAAGAACCCCTTATGATAAGAGTTTTGCACAAGAAAAGTTGGCACATTATTTAATTTAATCACTATTAACTAACGTAAGTGTATCAATATATCTATCTATCTGCAGAGAAAGATTGCAATCATTCAGTGATGATAATTGATATGATAAGATCATTGGCTCCACGCACTCTATCCATTAATCGTCTATAACCATTACTTTTGCTACCACTACACAAAACATTAATGCCACTGATCGATCTCATGCATCTTTAAATTCGCATCACCTCCCTCTCTAATTATTGCACCATTAATCTCAGTTTAATTTATTCAATTCAATTAGTATATTTCTTTGACCGTAACTTTACTATACTAAACCATAAACAAATCATGATAATATATCTTACGTACGTGCTATATATGTTTACTATAGGAAACGGTCTCATGTATTATTAATTGACTTTTTTTTTATCGATTATGGTTACTCAATCCCGAGTTATGATTAATATATATCGTGTTACGATTAATACAATAAATCAAATTACGATTGAGTTCGGTTTTATTTTTATGCATGCAAAGATAATTAACACTATTACACCAAGTTGACACTGAAGTATCAAATTAAACTAGTCATTTTTTTCCCACGCCAGTCGCCAAAGCCAAAGATATTTTCAGGTTGCATGCAGCTTCACAATATTGCTGGCCGGTAATTAATGGGGAGCTAGCTATGGGTACTTAATTCTAACCATCTTGGCTGAAAAAACTTGGGCTCTATTTAGAAATATGGAGTTAATGAAGGGCTGCACACAAATGGACGCTACAAAAATTTTGAAGAGAATAAAGGGATTGTTAATTAA